TCATCAGTTCTGCCCCTACTTTGTTAGAGCCACATGCTGGGAAGCCTTGATAAACTGGGTTAACTGATTATTTTCACTCTTCACATCATTCATGGTATTAGAAGAAAAAAAAGGCATTATATCATTTTAGGTTCACTGTGTGGCTGGCAACCAAATCCAGTCTCTTACATCCCATATTTCTTCTTTAGCTCTTCTACTTTGTCGACGTAAGCTTTCATGGCACTTTCCTTGGAAGTTCCTAGAAGGAATCAATAGGATTATTTGTCAGGGAGGCAGTGAGGTAGAAAAGCAGCAGGTTTTAAGGCCCTCATCAGCTCCAGTTGAATTTTCCAGGGCTGAGTTTCTCCTCCATGTGGAAGGGGTTTACCCACATCTCCGAGATCTGTTGATAATTAGACTTAAAAACACCTGAGAATTATGGCCCTGAGTTATGCTCTGTAACGCACTGAACTCATCATGCATGGAGGGGCAGATCCAATGCTTGTCCCCCATGGGTCTCCCGTGACAGGGTGAGCCTTAGCCTTCCAAGTCAAGCAAGCAACTGTCACCATGGTGACTTTACTTGTCCTGATGATTTCATGCTTGGCTTTATTCAATCAAATATTTCTGTGTTGGGCTCTTATCTCCTAGAGCTACTAAGCTGGCAGTGAAAGAGCAAAGCCAGCCACACTCTTCTCACCAGAGAGAAGCTAGAAGAGGTTTGAGAGTCTAAGCAAAGGCAGCTGATTCTTGGAGGGGAATGAGGCAAATCTTTCTTTTCCCTGCTGCAGCATAAAAGACACTGAATATATCTTCTGAGACAGCCACACCCAGTTCCATGGATTCTCTGGTAAAAAGAGAGGCCCTCTGGGACTTATTCTGAAGTGCCTGATGAAAATGAACAATTAGACGGGCATCGCCCCCCCCCCCCCACTGCTTGCAAATCCTAGGAGTATATTTATTGTATTGTGGTCTTTTCTGAATTCATGGACTTCTCATTTGCAGGAAGACAGCAGGCTTATTCAGCAACTAGCTAGTGAGGACACAAAAGCTGCCAGGAGCTTTGATGCCAACTTTGGGTCTTGCTGCCTTGGGGACACGTGATTCAATAGAAACTTGGATACTTTTCGGCTGTTGGGGCTCAGCAAATAATAGCTTCATTCACTGAGCCTACCAGTGGCTGGCCAGGCATTACCTCATCCCCTTTTTTCATGTGCCTTTCTGGCTGGAAGGGAACTGGGGAGGGCCATTCCAGTTAAGGGGTCACTGCTTGGCCTTCCTGTGGAGAGGGGGGTGTGGAATCCACCCTTATTCTGAACATATCCAAAGACATTACCTCTCAGCCCATTCTCACTGGCCTAGACCCCTAGCCCTTCCCCTCCAGATGATACCCTTTTGCAGAAATGGCACTTTTAGAAAAGGCATGAAGAATATTTGGAGAGAAAGTAGGTGGCCTAGTTTTCCCCACTTGGGCTCAGGTCAGGCTGATTTCCAGCATGTGCCTCCTGTACTTTGTTTCCTTCTGCCCGTGTGTACTCTACAATGAAGAGTCTTTCATTACTGGGCTTCACAAAGGAGGGAAACTGATTTGAAATAGTTACCTTTCAGCTGATTCCAGGCATCCCACTTGGCCTTGCCTTTGAAGTCCAACATTCCGGGCCGTTCTTAAAGAAGGCAAAGGAATACATTATTAGATTTGCTCAAGTTCTAACATTGAACTTCATCAACTTTCTTTCCATGAAAGTCATCTTTTATTAAACTGATTTCTTCTAGGTTCTCTCATGGAATTTAATGAGTTTTACACAGTGGCTTCTGCCTTAACAGATCCAGGTATACAGAAATCCAAACTTAAAAACCTAGAGAAAACAGGAGGAAAACTGTTCTCATTACAGGAGAGTTTCTGAATTGCAAGTTACCTTCAAATTCTATCCTTAAAAAAAAAAATCACTTAAAAAATTAAAGATCTATGCACATGGCTCAGAATTCAAAGCTACAAAGGTTAGCAGTATCAAAGTTCCTCCTACTTCTGTTTTCCGTCACCCAATTTCTCTCCCTAACGAATCATTGTTATCAGTCTTCTGGGTGTTCTTGCAATGTGAACTGTCTGTTCCTATCCTGGTCCCATTGTTCTAGCAAGCTGTTAGACTATTTCCAGATGGGTAATCATCTGTAGTTGGGAAACATTCCCTTCCTCCCTGATGATCTATTTCACTGCCAAGAGGAATGACTGCAGTGTCCATAACCTGTAGCACTGTGTTGAAGAAAATAGCAAGTGCTCCTGAGTGCTTTCAAGGCAGCATTCCTCAGGGGACCTAAGAAAAACTATACCCAGTCAATAGTAATCACCAGAATCCCAAGCTGCACTCACTGGGAGCCCTCTAACCACTGTGGGCCCTCTATCCACTGTGGACATGTTTATTTGCAATATCCAATTCAGGATCATTTGCCACTTGTGGCAACTAAGTTTCCCGGAAAAAGAGCTCATGTGGCTAGCACTTGAACTTTAGATACTATTTAACTATTTTGAGTTCTAATGTAAATAGTCATCAGTGGCTACTGTATGAAAAGTACAGCTCTAGAGAGAGCCAATATCTCCAATCAGGCAGTGATAGACTCCATGTCCATCTACCTACATTTATATGAGAGCAAGTCCCTTTAGCTCAAACAGAGGCCACGCTCTGTGAAAACACTATGTGACAGAAAAGCATCTCAGCCCTTCTGGCCACACCCACTTCACTCTCTTTTCCCTATTTGGGAGGAGACAATTTATACACCTACTGTAAAACTCATCTTTGCTACAAGACCTTCCTTAACTAAGCCCTTGATGTGAACCATAGAGCCTCATTTGGCATTGCCCAAGATCCTTAGTTCTGGGCACTGCTGCAGCTGGCCAGCTGCCAGCCTACCAGCTCCACCCTACACCCTATACCCTAGCTCCTGAGGAACTGGGGCTAGAGTTCCCCTCCTCTTGAAGGGTCCGAGGGTCACTCCTTTGATGCTGACATGACCACTGACTTTTGAGTCCTTGCATGGAATGCATTAAGCTCTCGCCTCACTGTACAGTTATTAATTCAGGAACTTAGTTTGTCTAAAAACTGCCCAAGGCAGGAAAGATAACATTGTAGATGATAGTGGTACAAAGCCTAGCTTCAAAATCTGCAACAAGATTTTTGGATAGGGAACAGAAATCATCAGGAAGGTACAGACTGTAGTTCACAAAAACATTCCTGACTGTCCCAAGACACCAGGTGCTTCTCTGCTTCTCCATAAGGCTTGGTGGGAGGACTGTCCACCCCGGGTGGAAGCAATACTGCTCAACAAAGCTAATTCTGAGCTGAAAGCCTGGGACAGAGCTCTTTTCCTGGGGTTTTATTTCCTCCCCAGTAGATGGAAACTTCTGGTGATAATCAGATAAGCCCTTCTAAAACCAGGATTGGAATTCTGCTACCTGAGACACTGACGATCCAGGAATATGGTCTTTGGGGAAACTCCCTAGCTTAAACCCCAAGAACTGTGACCATGCCATGCCTGAAGAATAGAGCCTCTGGTAGTTTGAAAGTGAAGTTCCCAGACTTCCAATCAAGGACTCCCAGTCACCGGCAAGCCCCTGCTTTGATGAGCAGTTCAGCATACCTGTATTTATGTCGCCCACAGTTGCTTGTTTGTAGTGGCTGTAGATGAACAGCATCTCATCATCTGCTGGCTGGGTCTTGAGGTGCTTAACCTCCTCAGCAGCTTTGTCAAACTCAGCCTAAGTGGGAGGGAGGGGAGAGGAATGAGAGTGGATTCCAAGTGGGATAGGGCAGAAAGTGGCCTGAATGGAGCCCAGGGACAGGATGAGAGGATGGAAAGGCAGCATTCCTAGTGCCATGCAGGACAGGAAAAGCAGCCCCCCTCAAGAGTGTCTCCCTTCCCAATTACGGATTCAGTAAATTAAAGAGGGAAGGTATATTAGTTCACTTATTCAACCTACAACTACTATCTGGTGCTCCTACAACAGAAACATCAGGAGTTGGAAATACAGTGGTGAGGGAAGCAGGACATGACTTGGCCTACAGTGAGTGGGCACTGAGGAAAAGTAGCAAGGCCAACTGCCTGGCCACCACTGGGCCAGACTAGGGAATGGCTGAGGTCCCAGTGAAGCCCTAACCTAAGGAGAGGGGTGGCACACTGTGCTGGAAACATCTGATAAAGGAACAGGACACAAATAAGTGTTCTCCAAGCAGGAGTCCGCTGGCCCCTTTTCCCATGGGGCCTGGGAGTTCAGCGCTGACCTCTGTCCCAGTGCCCGGAGTGGGGAGAGGCAGGTGGGAGGAGCCAGCGATCGCCCCACATAGCTCGGTACTGGACAAGGGTCTACATTAGAGGGCAGGGAAAGGCCTCTAGGTCACTTCTACCTGAGCAGCCACTATCCTCTCCCCGCACGCCAGACACTTGGCTCTTACTTCTCCTGACCTCCACTACCCAGCTACGGTCTCTTTACCTTCCCACCTTTACCTTCGCTCCCCCACTGCCAAGTCCCGCCAGATCCTTCCAAGTGTGGGGCTCAGTCTCCTTGCTCTTTCCGTACATGCAATCACCGTCCCGTCAATCACCCCATCTTTCTATCGAGGACCCTAGCCTCCCACTCTAGCCTGCTTCGCCACGAAAAGTCCACCCCATGGGCAACTTTCCAGCAGTTGCGGAGTGGGTAGCTGTTTTAGAAATCCACAAACGGAAAGTTCCGCTTACAAGGCTCCGTGCAAAGAATTAGAGCTGGGCATGGGTCCAGGAGCAAGAGCAGGGCATCCGTGGGAAGGACTCCGCGGGGTTCTGCCAGCCGGACGAGATCCCCACTCTGGCCTCCCGCCCCGCTCCACCTCCGCAGTTTGGCAGGGCACGCGCTGTACCTGAGACATGCTGGCGGGGTTACAAGGACTCCTCGGAGTGGAAGCGGCAAGAGCAGGAAGCGACAGCCAACAGCGGACTGGCCAGCGCCTTTAAATGCACAGCCCCCGGGAGTCCCAGTTTCGCTCGGGCGAGCATCAACAGCCAATCAGAAGCGGCTTCTACGTCGGGGGCGTGTTTAGGTTCATCTCCCGCGCCAGCTCCGCCCAAGCCCACGAAAGGCAGATTGCGCACGCGCAAGGCAAGCCGCAGGGGACGTCGGGAGCAGGTGGGGAACGCCGAAATAGTGGGTGTGCGGTGGTGCGGGTTATAGGTCCAGAGTTGGGTTGCTCTCCCAACAGAGGTTGGGGGCTGCACACGGGTCTAACCGGAGGAGGCTGAGGCCCGAGGGCAGACGCCTTAACGGTTTTAAAATCATGCCCGGCGCCCAGAGGCCGGAAGTTGCCAATCCGAACAAGTAACTTCTCAGGCCTGGGGATTGCAAGTGGGACCCGCTGCTCCTAGGGCTGATCCTCCGGAAATGGCCCCTGGTGAACTGTGTGATGGTAGCAAACTGGACTGGTCCCAGAAAGGCTAAGCCCAGGACTCATCCTCTGGACTTTGGCACGTTCTTTGACCTGTTAGTTTGAAATCCTGATTTTAAACACGTTTGTGGTGCCATGCTTCATTCGGGGCGTTAAAGGCAGGGACAGTGGCTTGTCTTAGTGGACTTGGACAGGAACAGGTGCTCAGCAAACCTTTATTAAGTGACTTTTCATCCCGGATTTTTGTGGAACCTTTGTCAGCTAACTTGCACTGTACTAGACCTGGTGGAAACATCACTGTACGAAACAAATGAATCCCTGTAATCATGGAACTTACAGTGGGTTAGTAAAGCAGTAAATTATATAGAGAGTTTTTAGGGACATAGAGTTGGACATTTTAAGTTGGAGGCAGGGCATAGGGAAACTAACATTTGAACAAGTCCCACAGGAGGGGAGGGAACGTTCTGGCAGAGAACAAGTGCAAAACAAAATGTGGGCAGGATATAAAGGAGGAGAGTAGAAAGGCGTGAGGCTGGGGAGGTGGCAGACCAGCTAGATGATGCAGAGGTTGGCCATTCTACATTGGACTTTCATCCTGATGGAGATGACAAGTAATCAGAGGGTTTTGAGCAGAGATGATGAATGAGACAGGGATCCATCTTTGCAAGGTGGGTACAGAGGTTGATCATAGTGGGAACAGAGGAGAGGCACTGGTGGATAGAGTAGTTTGAGGGTTGATGCTTTGGAGGCTAAGGGAAGAATTTTCAGGCAGTGGCTAAAAGGGAGTTGGTGAAGGAAGGGAAATGATGGAAAATGCCTTGGAGATCATTAATAAAGAGATCATTCTGAGAATAGGTTTAGAATTCTCTGTCAAAGGCAGGTCAGAGCCACCAGACTCATCACCGGGTGGGTGGCTGAGGCGGAGGAACCTGATCAGATACCACGGATTAAGGTGGTGTCTCCCCCCTCATTGCTTCTAGCATTGCATATAAGAAAAAGAAATGACAGGGCACAGGGCCTATGCCTGTCATCCCAGTGACTGGAGAGGCTGAGGCAGGATAGGAGGATTGCAAGTTTGAGACCATCCTCAGTAACTTACTTGGTGAGACCCTGTGAAACTTAGTGAAACCCTGTCTCAAAAAGGGGTGGGGACATGACTCAGAGGTTAAGTGCCTGGGGTTTCAATTCCCAGTACCAATAGTAATTATAATAATAATTATTATTTCTCTGCAATTCCTGATGTGTGACAAGAGGGCTACAGATCTCTACCTTTTCTACCCCCCGCCCCCTCCCCCTATTTACAGCTGTATGTGTTCAGAAAGGAAGGCCAGGTAGAAGCTTTTAGATGTCACTTCATAACTTAATGTAGGTCAGGCTTTATAAATGGGAAGAAGTGGAACTTCAATTGTAGGGAACAAACCTAGAGTTGTTAGTCTATGAATAATATTATTTGAGAAAGCAAAACTAAATTAACAAGAACCTTGGGGTTGAATTTGGGAAAATTTTATTCCAACTGTAAGAAATGCAGGCTTTGTCCTCAGTGATTCTTCAAAACTTCTTTTCCCTATTGAGGCCTAGGTGAATACTGTGACAGATTGAAAATATTAGATAACCTTGGATAGTTTGTTTTCTTTATCATTTTGTCAAGATCAGTGATGTGATTGATCTACATTTGACTGGAGTCAAATGTAGAAAGTAAGGCTAGTGAGAGCGTTGACGTTAAATATACAGTCTCCAGTTCGAGTAGGGTTGATTGTTGGTTGCTTGTTTGGAATGCATTTCACCCTTCCAAAAGAATTTTTTTTTTCCACATTGTGGTTTTGTGCTTCCCTGTTAATTCTACAAAAGTTATTTAAAGTAAATGAAGTATGAAATGAGTAAGGGTTGTAGATCCCAGGGAGGAGGATGCTAAGTGACCTTGACTAGGAAAAGGAAGAGTGCTTTTGCTTATTGCAGCGTGCATCCTAGGCCAAATTTCAAAGTAACTGGAGGTGTTCTTTTAGCATACTTTCTGCTTCCTTTCCTCACTTCTCAGTGACTATTTTTGTTACTTCTGTCTAGGGAAATTCCACCTTAAGCCCTTTAGTTAATTCTTATATTCTAAGAAATAGGGATGGCATTCAAACTGCCAGCTGGGATTTCATTTTTTGGGGGGGGTGGGTGGGTGTTAAGCAGGATGTTTATCAACCTTTTAGCAACATTAGCAACAAGAGCAACATTTGAACTGTGCTATTTATAAAACTCAACCATGCATATTATTCCATTCATGAGGCTCAAGAAGTCTGATGGCTTCTGTTTTCAGTTCATAAACAGTAAAAACAAGCTAGATGGATTGGCTGAGTTACCTAAAATAAGGCATGCATCCTGTGTCCTGGGGGTTCAGATACTTGTGTTGGATATCTAACAGCCCTGGCAGCAGGTGTAGGGTTGAGCCCAGGTTTCTCCCTTACATACATATTGGATTTCATTTTTAAATATAAATTTTAGGGTATATTTGAGGTCAATGGATTGTGTGAGTTTTTAATTCTGTATTTCTATAGGCCTGGAAAGGATCATTACTCTTCATAATCCTGAGAAGGTGCAAGATCTCCACAGCTATCCAGAAGGCTAAGGCAGAAGGATTGCAAATTTGAGGCCAGTCTCAACAATTTAATGAGAGCCTGTCTCAAAATAAAAAATAAAAAGGGCTGGGAATGTAGCTCATTGGTACTGGATTCAGGTCTAGAATGGGATAGATGGGGAGAGTATAAGATCCTCAGCTCTGTTTATGTCTCTGTGAGCAACTAACACATGTTGTAATTATTTTATTTACAGTTATTTTAATTTCCTACTTTAAGTTTAATTTTCTACTTTAAGTTTTCTCCCCTACATAAACTAGGGAGGATAGGGGTTACTGTGTATTGGCCACTGCCTTATTTTCAAATGTCTAGTGCTTAGGTACGCAACTTGATTTTTAGATGAATGAAGTGCTTTTCTCTCTCTGAAGATTTGTCCCTTCTGGTTAGCTGTGAACTTGGAAACCAACTAAATTTGCTAGAAACAAATGTGAAACTGTGGGCTTGAATAAAGCAAATGAACTCTGTTGCAAGGCCCCATGATCTCTTTGTAGCAGTCCAGCTTTGGAAGCAGAGTGCCTGGAGGGTTAAAGGAAGATGGGCAACCTGCCCAGCCAACTTGTCAGCCAAATTGACCTAGCCAGCCATAGAGAGGCCATTGTCATTGTTGTACCTTGCTTTTACATCTGTAGGATACCATTTTGACCACCCATAGGCTTCACTTGCTGGATTTCAGCTTGATAGTTAAGATATATTAACAGATGTAAGTGGTTCTTGCCCCATGGGTGAATAACAGTTTAATATTAGGTGTCTTGGTATAAACTAAACCTCTAATTTCTAAAAGTAATTGGATTATTTAGAAGTGAACTACAGTTACAAGAGAGATTCATTGGAAGGAAACGCATTCACAATTGATGAATTATATTCATTCTGTATGTGTTTTCCTTTTCTTGGAATGTGACTCCTGTAGCAGGGCTTCAGCAAAGCTGGTAGCAGGCTTTGGGAATTGCTTCTGGGACTACAGAGGGGAGAGATGGGTGGAGTGGAGGGTTGTGTGATGGTTGAGGGAGGTCAGAGCTGAAAGTGATGGGGCAAGAAGAGGTTGGGCAGTTCCCTGTTTGCCATTTATACCCTCTTTTTTAGAGGAATTGCAGCAAGGGGCATGAAATGAGAGTAAATGTGGGTGTGTGGATGGCGTGCCGTTGTGTGTCATTTTTCCCTCCCTTCCTTCTACCCAGGCACACGTGGTTGGGGTGGTAGGATGATTGAAGAGAGATAGGGAGATAACTCGGGAGTGGGAGAATCTGGTAGGGACGTGTCCTAGGCTGGCTAGGGGTAAGGAAGGAAAGAAAACTTCCTATATAATTGCTTATCCTATATAATTGCTTATCCTATATAATTGTCATCCACTGGTCAGGCCCTTCCTGTACTCTTGATTAGAAATAGTTATGATTACAGGGCAGAAATAATGGAACATGATGTAAAATGTTTTGAGTTTAATAGTATAGTTCTTGGTCAACCTCACTAGAAATATATATTCTACATTGTTTTCTGCATCTTTGCCTGTTTCCTAGTTGCATATGACAAGCACTTGGTAACTGCTTCCAAGTTAAGCTATTAGAGATGAATTTTCTAGGCCCTCCCCTTTTTTTTTGGTGGTACTAGGGATTGAATCCAGGACATCACATAGTAGGCAAATGCTCTACCCCTGAGTTGTATTCCCCTTTTAAATTTTATTTTGAGATAGGATCTCTCCGAGTTGCCCCCAAGCTGGCCATAAAATTGGAGTCCTCCAGCCTCAGCCTCCCAAGTAGCTGTAATGGCAGGAGTACACCACCACTATCAGGGAGATGAATTTTCCTACCTCTTTTATCACTTGCCAACAAGGAAATTAGAAATGTTTAAAATCTGGTGGCAGATGCTGGTGGCAAATACCATTAAAAAGAAACCATTTTGAAATAATGCCATTTTAACAAAAGCTAATTTTTTGAGATAACTAGATTCAAATGCAGTTGTAAGAAATAATATTGAGTGATCCCTTGTATCCATTACCTACTTCCTCCCAATGATAACTGCTATGGTTTGAATATGATCATGTCCCCCAAAGGTCATTAAAACTCAACGTAAGAGCTTGGTCCCCAGGGTGGCTGTATTGGGAATGCAGTCCTAGTGGCAGGTACTTAGGTCATTGGGAACTGTGAGACTTCATATGCTTTTCCTGCTTTCTGTCATATGATGTGACTAGCTCCAACATGCCCTCCTGTCATGATGTGCTGCTCTTGCCAGAGCCCCAAAACAATGGGGCTGCCCCCATTTTGTACTTGTATGTCTAGAACTGTGAGCCAGAATAAATCTCTTTACTTCATAAGTAGGCTTGTGTAAGGTATTTGTTGTAGTGATATGAGGCTGACTAATACAGTAACATCTTGCAAAACCATGTACAAGACCTAACAGTGCATTGATATATTTGATGAGATAACAGATCATTTCCATCAACAAGGACCCCTTGTATTGCCCTGTTAAAGCTGTTACCACTTTTTTCCTGCCTCTCTTCTTCCTTAGACCTCAAGAACGTTATTTAAATGAAAGCATGCAGTGTGTAACCTTTTGGGCTTGGTTTTTCACTCAATAGTTCTGTGGATATTCCTCTACCTTGTTGGGTGTTATCAGTGGTTTGTTCCTCTTTGTTGTAGAGAGGTCTGTCACCTGGATGAATCAGTCCATTTAACCATTCCCTCCTAGAGAAGGATATCTGGATTGTTTCTGCTCTTTGACTTTTGTGAATAAAGCTGCTGCTATCACATATACAGGGTTTTGTGTGAGTGCACATTTCCCCTTTTCTGGAATAGATGTCCAGAGTGAATTTCTGGGTCATAGGTGATGATTTCATGTACAGTTTTGTAAGAAACTGCCATACTCTTCCAGAGTGGTTGCACTATTTTAACATTCTCATGAGCAATGAATCAACAGTGAATCTTCACATCCTTGCAAACATGGAGTCATTACTATTTTTTTCCCAAGCCAAACTATCCAGCTTTATTAAAAATACTTTTCATAAACAATCATGATATTTCAGGCAGGAGATGGGCAGATAATTGTTAACAGAGTACAACAACTTTCAAACTCCCATCTAATTTTGATGGACTACCAAAATTAGAGCCACTATAAAACCCAACGAAGTCTTCATTTGATCCTCTGAATAAGGACAGTTTAGAGTGAGGTTGATGTTTCACCTTCAGCATGTTGTTTAACTACTTTTGAATTGATCCTGACTTCCAGGAAATGAAATGAAAATAGCAGAATTATTAATCTGAAGATCTGCAATCTAGAAAAGGAACTGCTGCTCTTTTAGTGGACATTATCTCATTGATATCACTGGGAAGTCCTGGTTGTAAACCCAATTGGTGGGTGTCAGGTCTCAATAGATCTACGGGTTCAGGGAAGTTAAGTCTATGCAGTTGGCAGAGAGGAGAGGAGGACATAAAGATGATTTGAGTATTTCCACACCACGAGGCATTTGTGCCAAGGTGGCTATGTGTGCCAACATCAGGGAATTCCTCTTCCTCTGAGCCATGAGGAAATCTCTCAGTTTTCCTCCTCAGCAGTCCAGGTTTGGAGACATTCTATCAGTGCCGTCTGTTCCTTTTCCTCCAAATAACAATGAAGTGTTCTGTGTACTAGCAACATAGCTTAAAAAAAAAGTAAAACTCTTTTTTTTTTTTATAAAGCTTGATTAAAAAATAGTATTTCAAACTTTACAGTCCTCAGAAGTTCACAGTTTTCAAAAATGCACACACTTCACTGAGCATCTCCAGAACCTTCTGCTTTCTGTGCCTGGGCTGTTTGGCATCTCTATTTCTGCAGGGTTATTCCCATCCTTGCCAGTGTTAGCTCTTCCCTTTTGCCCTTTGGGTACCTTCTCTCCCTTCTTTGTAGGGGCCTTGGCTTGAGCTCTGGCTTTGGAGGAGCAGGTTAGCAGACAACCTTGAGGATCTTCTCTGTGGTTCATCTGCACCTTGGCTTTATCTCCTTTAGCATCTCCTCCAGCCTTTCCTCTGGGCATGATGGAGACAGCGATGTGCTATAGGCACTGGATGCAGAAACGCAGTGTTGTGAGTTTTGGTCAGTTCAGAGGTGTTCTTACCTCTTCTTCACACTGCTCTGGCACTGTCTTGGGTTTGCCATTTATCTGTTTTCTCCTGGGAAATGTTTTCTCATTCTTTTGCCCATACTCTCATTTGATTTTTTAGAGTTGATTTTTGAGAATGCTTCATATATTCTAGATACCAGTCCTTTGTTGTATAGGTAATTTGCAAATATTGTCTTCAAGGTTTTTTAAATCCTCCTAGCATTGTTTCATAGAGCCTAAATTTTTAAATTCTTATGAAGTACAGTTCATCAATTTTTCTTTTTCTGGATTGTACCTTAGTGTTGTCTAGATCCATTTTTCATAAACATTCTGTAGTTTTGTATTTTATATTTGACATAATACATTCTGAGTTAATTCTTGGTATAAAGTATAAGATTTAGGTTAAAAGCCAGGCCCAGTGGTATATGCTATAATTCCAGCCACTTGGGAGGTTGAGGCAGAAGGATCACTTGAGCCCAGGAATTTAAGGCTAGCCTATGCAACATAGCCAGACCCTGATCTTAAACAAAATATTTAGATTTAAGATTCTTTTTCCCCCTTGGTGTCCAATTGCTTCAGCACCATTTGTTGCAAAAGTGATTTTTCCTCTGTTGAATTGCTTTTGCACTTTTTTCAGTAATCTGTTAGGCATGCTTATGTGGTGTTTTTAGGGTTCTCTGTTCTGTTCCATTGGTCTCTTCCCCTGTTCCTCCACCAATATTGCACAGTGTTGATTACTGGAGCTACTACCATAGAGTTGAGTCATGTTTTTAAATCCACTCTGACCTTCTCTTTCAGTTGGTGTATTTAGATTATTTAGATTTAAGGTAACTATTTACATATTAAGGCCTGCCATTTTATTTTTTGTTGCTTCTGTTTTATTTTATTTCTTTTTCTTACTTTTCTGTCTGTTACTTGAGCATATTTTAGAGTTACTTTTTTAAAAAAAATTATCTGTAGTGTTTTTGTGTGTATCTTGTGTAGTTATTTAGTGGTTGCTCTAGGTAATGCATATTATTTGCAGTCATAGTCTTAGTGTCATCATTTTATCAGCTTGAGTGACGTAGAGAAAGTTTACCTCCCTTTATCACCCTCTACCCCCTCCACAATTGATAATTGCTATAAATATTTCCTCTGTATACGTCTTGAATCTTATCAGGTAATGTGGTAACTTTTCTCTTTGCATACATGCATATAATATTCATTTTTAATTATAATTTAGAAAACTCAGGAGGAGAAGGAATGTATTTACCCACAGTTTTGCTCAGTTTCCTTCCATCCTGTTAGTTCAAGGTGCCTTCTTTAACTGCTTTCTTTTCTGTTTAGACTTTCTATAGCTATCCTTTTAGTTGAGATGTGCTGGTGATGAATTCTTTTAGTTTTCCTTTGTCTGAGAATATCTTGATTTCCCCCTTTATTTCTGAAAAGTGTCTTCATTGGACAAAGAATTTTGAGTTGACAGATTTTTTCTCTCAGCATTCAAAGTGTGTGCACTTCCTTCTGGCCTCCATAATTTGTGGTGAAAACCCCACTGTCATTTAAATTGTTATTTTTCAATAGGCTCTTTTGCTCTAAGTCTTCTTCCAAATTTTTTTTTCTTTGCCTTTAGTAATGAAAAGTTTGTATTGTGTTTTGATATAGATTTTGTTTGATTTTGTCCAGTTTACAGTTCCCTTCTCAAGTCTAAAAGTTTATGTCTATAAACAAATTTGGGATGTTTTCAGTCTTATCTTTTTAGGTCCACCCTTTTGTCCCATCTTTTTGAACTCTGATGACAAGAGTGTTACAGTTCCATAGGAGATGTTTTTTTGCTTTTTTTTTTTTCCCCTCTGCTCAGTTATTTCATATAGAAGGAGAACATTTGAAAAATCCTCTTCAGATCATGGCAACTTTAATCTATCCCAAAAGCATAGCCACAGATTCTGCTTATTTGCTTATTTTTTAAGTCTTCTTTTTTCTCCATTGTTAAGATTGGGTAATTCCTATTGCTTTATCTTCTTGTTTACTTATTCTTTAATTTGTTCCTTCCATTCTGGTGTGAGCCTACCCATGGAATTTTAAAATTTTGGTTATTGTGATTTTTAGTTTTAAAATTTCTGTTTGGTTCTTTATATCTATTTCTTTGATAAAACCTCTTTTTCATTTATTTCATGATTATATATAATTGTGTGTTGAAGCATTTTTATGCTGCTTTAAACCTTTACCACATTATCCTAACATCTCTTGGTGTTGGCCTCAGTTGATTGAATTTTTGTTCAGGTGATTTCCCACTTCTCATTGTGTCAAGTGATTTTTGTCACTTGAAGTCTAGACATTTGTTGTTGGGTTCTGAGACTCTGGATCAATTTTAAATCTCCTGGGTTAATGACTTTCTTTGACACTCTGGCAGAGGAAGGGGACAGCTAGCTTACTTGTTATTACCAGGCAGAGACAGAAATTCGGGTTCTCTGCTTGCTTCTTGTTGACAGCTGAGGTGGCAGTGGGAGTTCTGGCAGAGGTGGATGCTTCTGGGAGGATAGGAGTGCCTTGCTACTGATCCTGACATGTCTTCCAGGGACACTGAGCTAGGTGTGGGAGGGTGGCCTCATCTTGCCTCTCCAGTAGGCCTCACCTGTGCCCACCCATTGAGGGAAAGAAGCCCTTCTTACTGGGAGACAGGGTAGAAGTATGTGTTCCTCAGATGGTCTTCACCGACACAGGGAAGAGCGGGAGTCAGGCTTGTTATGGTCCTGCTCCCTCTGACCTTCTTTGGCACCACCCCGGCAGGATCACTGGGATGCCTCGTTAGGAGCCTGGCAAGGGTGGAGGTCTAAGCTCCCCACACAGGCTTTGCTGGTGTGGGTGGTGGTGGGACCACAGTTTTTATTGATTCCTGGCTAGAGGAGAGCAGTTACTCTCTGAGAGTTTTCTCACTTGCTAGGCTGCCCCTTCCTGGTCCTTTGGCTAGAAAGAACAGGCTTTTGTTGAGGCTCTTCTTTTCTACACCTGTTGGTGTTTCCAGTTGCTAATTTCTTTAACTCCAAGTCTGAGACCCAGGAAAAACCAGAAAACTCACCACCATGTCAGGCCTTGGGTCTGGAGTTCCCTAACCTGTCTGCCCTCTTCTCATCTTTCAGAGTCTTCTTATGCTTGTTTTATACATAATGCCCACAGTTTTCAGTTGTACTTAGCAGGAAGTATAGGGAAAAGTACATCTTCACATATAGGACAGCACCATTTATAATTTATTTTTGTTATTTCCATGAAATATATTGCGTTCTGAACTAGTAACTTTTGTTGTGGCTGTTAAGTCTAGTAAAGATTCATTGTTTCCCTGTTTTCTTTGGGAGAACATTAGTGTGGGTTTGGCCATTGGAAAGAGGTGGCAAAGGTTGAAGATTATTATCTACTAAATATAATAGCAGATTTATTTTCTTAAAAAAATCCATGTGGTCAGGTATTTACTGGTTTGTTCATTAAACATGAGTTTCAGTAAAGCCAAATCTAATTTTAACTAGCGTTTAATAAAACATCCACTTCTGAGTATTAGCTGTAGAAATAGTTTATTTTAAAAGGCATCCTTTCTGGCATGTGTGTTGCCAAAAGGAAATTTTGAATTTATCTTTCCTAATAATATTTTCTGATTGCTGCAGTGAAACTAATTGTTCTTTATAGTGTGTCAGATACTTTATTGGTATAATACAGTGGGTAGCTCTTGATGGAAGTATGAAGATTTGTATTTAGTTACAGAATTACTGAATTAGCATCATTCAGTAACTAACTTTGCTGTATTGTTAAGTGAGGCTTATGGTGATACATCTGAAGCATTTAGCACCATGTTACACACACACACACATACACACACACACACACACACTCACACACTGCATCACTGTCACTGTTATTACCATTATTGATGAAGTTTATTGAAGCTGCAGCCTTGAAGCAAACTCTTAACAAAACCAGAGGTCAAATAATCTGCTGTGGTTCTTATCATAAAGTCATAGAATTGAGATTAAGGAGTTTGTGGCCTTTCTTCATTGACACCATTGTGATTTGTCAAGAACTATTCTTTTTTAGCATGGATTGTTGTAATAAGATATTTGCCTGATTTTTTTTTTTGTGGGGAGGGGGGACTGGTAGTGAGGCCTCACTGTAAGATAGTCCCATATTTTAATAGGTTACTCAAAAAAAATGAAAGTTTCATTTATTTATTTATTTTTGGTACTGGGGATTGAACCAAGGACCTCATGCCTGCTAGACAAGTGTGCTGCTACTGAGCTACACCCTGAACCTGGTATTTTTAATTTAAATAAAGAAACACAATATTAAAACTGCCATTCATACCTCCTTTAGCCCTTCCATCACCCCTTAGAGTCTCTTTCACTTAAGTCTTTCCAATTTGGCATTTGTGTTAGTTTCCTAGGGCATCCAGAACAAAGTAGCACACACAGGACAGCTTAAAACAACAGAAATTCAGTGTCTCACAGCTCTGGCGATCGAAAGTCCAGAATCAAGGTGTAGGAAGAGTTGTTTTCTTGTGAAGATACTGAGGGGGAATCTGTTCTAGGCTGCTGTGAGCCCCAGTTGTTCTCCAGTTTGTGGGTATGTTACTTCAGTCTCCAGCTCCACATGATGGTCCCTGTGTGTTTGTCTTTACATGGTTGTTTTCTTGTAAGGACAACAATCATGTTAGATTAGTCTGTACCCTCTACTATAACAGAATACCAGAGGCTGGGTAGTTTGTAAATAATAGCAATTTATCTCATGATTCTGAAAGCTTCAAAGTCCAAGATCCAGGGCACTAGCAGATTTGGTATCTTGTGAAGGCCTGATTTCTGGCTCATAGATGGTAGCTTCTAGCTGGGTTCTCATGTGGTAGTCTGGGCAAGGCAGCTTTCTGGGCACCCTCAGGACCTAATGCCATTACATTAGTACTTAGGTTTCAGCATATAAGTTTTGGGGGAGTTCTGTCCACTGAATCAATCCATTTTCAGCTCTTTGTGCCTGGAACTGAGGTTGAATAGCCACAGTGGACCAGTGGATGTCATTGGGTTCCAGCTTAGCCAAACCACCTGTGACTAAGGGTGGCCTAAGGATTTAGGCCTTTGAACATTGGTGAATTGAGAGTCCTTAGGGTACAGAAGCTTTGCTTCAAGTGGGAGATGGGGCACAATAGGTTAATCTCCCTTTTGACTAACTTACTGTAGCTATGTGCAGCTTCTCCTGCACATCAAGCTGGAGGGACAAACATACCATTTCCATTTAACACGTGAGCTTGTCTGGCCCTTCCCACCTTACAAGTTAGAGTACTTGCTCCAAATGGGGATTCTATGCTGAAGTGTTGCATGGTCCACGGGTAATTTATTGAGTTTTGCCAGAGCTGGTTGTAAGCTCATAGAAGCTTGTCAGAAGCCATCATCTTGATGTGATGTCAGGGAGGTGAGGCATCTAAGACCTAAAGGGGCACATCTAGGTGGAAGCTGTCTCCCTTTGCTAGAGACTCTAGTTGACAAAATCATCAGCCACAGAGACTGGTACCTCAGAGAGGTCATTAGGGTTGAGGGGCACCAAAAGTAGAGAATGTGCCATAGCTTGCTGTGTGGCTTCCAATAGTTGGTTTAGATACCATTCAGGATGCTTGCTTGTGGGTTAGCCAATATAAATGACCACATAGAATGTTCAGATGTGGAGTGTTGTGGTCAGAGTTCAATGGAAGAAGCAAAACCAGTAAAGAAAAAACAAAAGACACTTGTATGTATGCACACAGGTGTGCAGAATTGGCTTACTCATTTGTGGGTACTGGCCGAGCAAGTCTGAAGTCCAAACTGGCAGTCACAAGGGTTGATAAAGAGCAGACTATGCTCTCTAGGCAGGAGCTGATGCTTGTTGTCCCAGGCAGTAGTCAGGAGAAGGACCCAAGGAAAAGGGAGAGCAATGAAGACCCAGCTACAGTTTTTTTTTTTTTTTTTTCTAGGTCAGGGAAAGCCTACATCCCCCTATAGGGTCAAGTGAGTCAGACCTACCAGTATAATCTCCCTTTTGACTAACTTAAAGTCACCTTACTGGAGCCTTGAATCATACCAGCAACATCCTTTCTCAGCAGCCCTTCAATCTGATTAAAAAATGGGGAGTGGTGGGTATGTTACAAAATGGCCACTGTTCTCCCCAGTTTCTCTCAGGAGAGAATGTCCCTTGTTGTCCATCTGCATCAGAAACACACTAGAAAATGCATTTTGAAGACTGCAATTCAGCTAGCCAAGCTGACACATCACAAAGCCATTCCAAGCATCATTTTATATAGTGCATTCTTGGAACATTGGAGGGTAGGGACAAGTGCTTTAAATCCTGACCTACCCACTGGTAACAGGTGGCACCATGAAAAGGGCAACTATATTTAACAGGTCACTTCCTGCTATACATTGAGAGAATTGACAGCGGTATATTGCTTGGCACAAATGACCCTGTTAACTAGGACATGTTTCCCTCCCTGCTAGGGTTTGAATCTTGAGTGTTTCCCAAAGGCCCATGTATGAGAGAATTGGTCCCTAGCTTGGCACTGTTGGGAAGCAGTGGGACCTCTGAGAGATGGGACCTAGAGGGAGGGCTTTGGGTTATTGGGGGTATGGCTTTGAGGGGGAATATGGGACCTCAGTCTTTTCCTCCCTCTTTCTTGCTCCCTAACCATGAATCAAGCAATTTTGTTCTATCATGTACTCCCACCATGATGTTTCACCGTAGACTCAAAGCAATAGGGCCAACAAATCATGAGATGAAACCTCTAAGCTGTGAGCTAAAATAAACATTTTCTCTCTATAGTTTGATTTCCTCAGGTATTTTTTAGAGGAATGGGAAGTTGACTAATATACTCCTCAATTGTGAATCCTGTTCAAACCCCATTAGCTGAATCTGAGTTCTCTTCCCCTAGGCCAGGATGTCACCACAGGACATGCCCGTGTCCACAGAACTATGAAAGTTTTGAGTCCTCCCTGCTCTCTCC